AAAAGAGAGGATGAAAAGGGAAGGGGTCTTCAGAATTACCTTCTGCCTCTGTCACCCCGTGTGTCCAGCAGAGAGCCACCAGAGCCATGTAGCGCAGCCCCCAGGTAAGTGTCCCTTGCTGGTCCATTTTGGTACTTTAGGCATCTGCACAGGAAGCTATGGGCAGGGTGGTGTCCTCATTGTCCTGCGGTTCTGTATTGCTGCTCGGCTGAGGATTGGACCACACTCATGTTACAGGGCTTGTGATTCTTCACTTCCCGACTGCATCCTCTGGGGCTGCAAAAAGATGTGTAAGGCTGAGAGCTGCCAGGACCCTGCTGATGCCATGTGACCAGAACCCAGAGAAGACGCCCTGCTGTGTGGCGCCCTGTGACTATTCCCTTCCCTTGAGCCTCATTGGGCTAAAGTGTGAACATAGAAGAGGTGGGACTGATGACCTCTAAGGCAGCAGGTCCCTCCTCAGACCACACTGTGCTTCCCAGAGATGAGAGTGAGGCTGCTGTTTTACTTGCACCAGGCTCCACCCACACCATTGATGGACATGGTGGTGGGGGCGGGGCACGCCTAGGTGTGATTGCTCTCTGGTTTCTGTCTCTGCACACACACACCAAACGTTGTTCTGGAGTACAGGCAGAGCCTGGTGCTCTCCCCACCTCTGCTTAGTTTACCTTCATGTCTCCCACAGGCCCCTCTGCTTCCCAGTTCCCCTTTCTCTGAAGCCTGGGGATTTCCTTGTTTTCGTTGAGTTCACTAGGGAAGTACCAGAGGAGCAGAGCCATTGCTGTTGTGTCCTCTCCTACAGGCATTTGAAACTAGAGTCAAGATGCTCACAGCACACACCCGACTGTCCATCTGTCTATAATCCATCCGTCTACCTTCATATCTACAGACTACTCTATGTGTGTGCACATCTGCTTATCCATCCTAGGATTGTCCATGTGTCTGTCTGTATTATTTCTCTATGTCTGTCTATTCACCTATCAGTCATTTGTCTATCAATCGTCTATCTAAGATCTATCCATCATCTATCTATCAATCATCAATCATCTATCTATCTATCATCTATCTATCAATCATCAATCATCTATCTATCTATCTGTCTGTCTATCTATCTATCTCTGTTTACCTATCTCCTACCTGTCAGCCATCTACCTGTCTAGTCACTGGACACCTTGATTGGAGCAAGTGTTATTTTACCCCCATCATGTTCAATATGAACAGAGAAGGAACCAATCACAGCATCACGTGGTCCCACAATGTTCAATATGAACAGAGAAGGAAGGAATCACAGCATCACATGGTCCCATCATGTTCAATATGAACAGAGAAGGAACCAGTCAGCAGCATGAAGTGATGGAATTCTGCATTTGAAATGCTCAGATGATGAATGACAACACTCACAAACCCAGATTTCTGTCTCACCCTTCCATAATAAGGTCAGCTAAAAACTTACAAGCTCAATCCTGTCAAAGCTTTGGTGCAGGTGCCCCTGAGCTGTGCATGCTTAAAAGTAATCAAAGGATTCTGTGACAGAGGGATGACAGGGTTTTGCAGCCAACTGCCTGCCTTTCATAAAGACAACAGAGTCACCGAGCAAGGGGAAAAACGGGATGTACCAATGACCAGTGTCCCCATCTGGGACGACTGCTGTCACAAAACACCACTGATAGTTCATAAAAACCACAGACTTTTATTTCTTGAATTTCTAGGAAGTCGCAAGGCCAAAGTCAAGGAACACGCAAGTCTGAGGTCAGATGAGGCCTCTTCCTCACAGACATTTCCGTAGTGGGGCAGCAAGGGAGCCTCCTGGGATGTCTAATGTAAGGACACTGGTCTCCCGTTCCTTCCCCCGTGGATGAAGTTTGAAATTATGAGTTGTGGGGTACATGAGAATTCAGTCCCTAACAATTGAAATCATGGAGAACAAGCTATCATCTACTGTAAAAGATAACAGAATTGTGTCATAAATTTAAACACGCACAGAGAATTCGTGTTAGCCGCCGACTGAGGTGTAAAGCCCACCATCACCAGGAAGTGTGCAGAGTGCTTCTCGGAAATCAGTGCTTCTTGGTCAAGGCAGCTGTTCGAATCCTTGCATACAGGAAACGGTGTAGGGATGTGGAGTGATGAGCCACAGTGCCACAGCTGCCTGAGGCAGGCTGGGACTGAGCCCAGGTGGGTTGACTGAGGACCCGCCCTCCCTCACCATGCTTCCCTGAGAGGCTGTGTTTCCTGATCATTGGCAGCAGAGGTGTGCTATGTCTGCCCAACTCAGACTGCTCTGCCATGTTTTATGAAGCAGACAGAGTCCAGGGACAGGAAAAGTCGAATCTCTGAGCACCCCTTGGTAACTGCAGAGCCTAGAACTATTTAAACACAGACTGCTGTTGAAAAAAAAAGGCAAGAATTCCTAAGATAGGAGACTCAGGATTTTAGAAATCAGTGCAGTGAGCTGTGAAGTCACAGAATGGACATCACAGACAAGCACCGGACTGAGGTGGATGTGCAAAGATGGGGCCAAGGCTAAGGCAGGGGACACTCTCCAGAACACCATGGAAGCACTAGAAAGCAGACCAAACCGAGGGCACAGGATCAGGGATCCCCATGGCCAGCAGTGCCAGCTGCCTGGCTGTTCCCTGCCTATGGGCTGATTTTTCACAAGAATACAAGGTAATAATACTTCTTCCTCTCTCCTGCCACTAGGCATGGTCACATGACTAAATCCTGTCCAAGGAGTCATGACGGGAAGCCCTGTTTATATCTTTCCCACAGATTACTTAAAAGGCATGGGCTCACATGGGAAGAAGTCTGTTCGTTTTCACGTTTGTCTTTTCTTCCTAGATCTCAGACATGACAGTTGGAACTCCAGTAGCCATTAGGATTCTAAGGAAAGGATGGAAGCCCCATGTAAGGAAGGTGTAATAGGAGGAGAATCTAGCTTCCTTCTGTCCCTCAGAGGCACCCACCCCAGCCTAAGGTCTGCTCCTGTGAGGCTCTTTGTGAAACTCTAGGGGAAGTTAGGAGTCTCTAGGGGAAAACGGAACATCTCTGGGGTTACACGTTGCTCATGAGAGCTTCTATATGCAATTAAAATGCAGCTGGAAAAGTCCTCTGGGTTTCAAGAAGACGGCTCTCTGCTAATCAAGAAACAAGAGGGGAAAACTCGATTCAGGAAGGTGCAGTTGAGTAAGTGGCAGAGATCAAGTTCAAACTCCAAAGGTCCCCCAGGGAACATCACACTCCCTTGTGCTCCAATGTGAACATTCAGTCTTTCAAGGACAGAAGGGTAATCTCAGAGCTTCCAGAAGGAATTGCACAGCAGGCTGCCTCCAATGGGACATCTTGACAGATAATTTCTGAGAAGAGAGTCTAGTTTCTAAACACACAGCAAGGAGGCTGGGAGATGGTTCAGCAGGTAAAATTATTTGCACAAGTCTGAAAGAAGCGAGTTCAAGTCCCGGATTCCACAGTAGGGAGAATGAAACCGCTGACCGCCACCCGTGCTGTGGGACATGCATGCTTTGTCCTACATAAACAATAATATGCAAAATAAATGAAAAAGACCAAGTCTTTCTTGCTGTTCAAAGGTCAAAGAGTTTGGTTACATGAAGTCAGAGAATAAATTTTCAGATATTTCCTGGAAAGAACTTATTGGAACATTTTTTTTTCAGGAAAGACAGATCTAAAGCAAGGAAGCATGGCATGTGGGAATGGAAAAAGCAGCGTGCTTTTGCAGTTAAGTAGGCAAGATTTGCCCCTAAGTGAATCAACAGTGAGTTAGCACAGGCAGAAGCAAGAGCCAGGCAAATCCTCAGAGGACTAAGGTGGGAGGTGGCTATGAGTCGGGGAGGGGGCGGGGTAATAGGAGAACTGAAAACTGGCTAAGGCCCGCCCAGCTTTATGAGGGCAGAAAAATGCTATTAAACCCAAGTGCTGGTGTGGAATAGAACTAGGAGTCAGCATTGAGCAGAAAGATTGAGTCAGGGCCTGAGTGGGCGTTCCATTCAAGCTGCTACTGAGGGTGAGGTGAGATTATTCCAGACTAGGAATTTGGGGCTAGCCTGGGCAACACTGTGAGAACCTGACTGAAAACAAACCAAGTTAGGCTTAATAGTCTTTGAAGATGAAGTATAGAGACAGGAGGGCCTCAGAGAAAAGTGGCAGGGTCAGGGTGGCAGAGAGGGAGAGAAGCAGGAAACAAGAATTGTTTGAAAACCCTAATTCCTGAGTGTATGAAGAAATACGCTTAAAGGGATGGCAGACAGAACCATTTCATAAGCCAGTCAGGTCCAGATTTGCTAAAGAAGTGTGCATGCTGGCCATGTAGGGGTCACTTGACAAGGAAAGGAGAGAAGCTCAAATGTCCACTCACAGTGCATCTCCAGCAAGAGGCTAAAGGGCCAATTTACTTGACAGGGCCATGGAAAAGTTTAATGTGCAAACCATTCTAATGACCTGAGTTTGTTCCCCTGATATCCATGACAGTGTCAGAGCCAGAGAGGTCTTGGGCTGCCCCTCCTAGACAACTCTAGCATGGGAGAAAGTCCCACCTCTGTCTCCGGGGTCAGTTTACTGAGAATCATCCTGGAGCTCAAAGCAATGGTATGAAGGATGAAGAAGGAATTCTAATGCCCTGAGCGAGCCGATTCTGAATCTCAGGAAACGGGGCAGAAGAGGTATGAGCATTCGCTAATAGATCACTGGAGTCACAGCAAAATATCAAACCAATCACGATATTACCAAGTGTGTCTGAGCTGAGAAAGCTAGACAGCCGTCTCCAGCCACTCAGCCCTAGAGGGACTGCACACTCACGACTGGTGGCTTCTATCAATGAGGGGACCATGCTTTCAAGTTAACTTGTTTCTTTACATCCAGATCCAAGGTGCATTAAAGATCTGAAACCCCAAACTAACCCATTAAGAGCATTAAAACTACATTTTTGAATTTAGAAGTGGAGTAGAATATTGAAACCAGAAACCACAAAGCAAAACAAAACGCAAACCAACAGACAGGGGTGGTGAGTGGCTTAGTGTGTGACACACTTGTTAGTACGACTGTGGACCTGAGTCCAAACCCATAAGCCACATGGAAAAGGCCAAGTATGGTGGCATACCCTTTTGATCCCAGCACCGGGGAGGGAGAGAGAGAGGCAGATCCCAGGAGCATCCTGGCCGTCCTGCCTAGTCTAGTTCCTGAGTTCCAGTCCAGTCAGAATCTCTGTCTCAAAGAGAAGGCATTCTGTACCTAAGGAAGGACACCTGAGTGTGTCCTCTGGCCTCCACGTGCACACATATGTACCCAAAGATCCATGGTCATACACCCAGAACCAACAAAACAGGGGCAGTGGCAGATGATAGAAATACTTTATACACCATAGGACATCATAAGCTTGACAGAGAAAACGTGACCCAGAGGTATACATTCTCATCACGTGTAACTGAATCTGAGTGCATGGAGTAACCTGTTGGGATAACAGTGATGGGGGTAAAGGTGACAAAGCAGCAGGAAGGGACACTTCATCTTGCACACTAAGACTTTAGGGGACTGTCGCCTTCCGGTGCTATTTCAGTGGGACGACTGGACAATTCCAACTAATATTTTAAGCACACCTCTGGGATCTGACTCAAGCCAGAGATGCAGCAGTACTGCAGGAGGGAAGCTACGGGGGTGTGCAGGGCAAGTGAAATGGGCTCAGGGAGGACATGTGACCAAGCCAGGACAGAAACAGAATAGAGAGCTTTGAGAAAGGCATGCTGGGAAAGTTCTGGGATGTGTGGCCCATGAGGGATTTGTGGATCAGTGAGACTGATCAGGAACCTGGAGAAAGGCAGCCTGTCTGCACGGAGTCCCATCTTCCCCTGGATCGCAGCAGGCTGGGGAAGGAAACGTGGCACCGAGAGGCAAGCTTTACTCAGCTGGATGAGAGCAAAGGCAAGGAGGAGAGACATCAGTGGTTAACCAGGGGGCTTTGCCAGAGCTATGGACCCCAGACACTGCTGAATGCTAATGTGTCTCACAAACACAAGGACTGTGTGCTTGGTGAGGTGCTGGCCAAGAGGCTAGCCAGAAGCGTCCTCAACACTCCATTGTCCTTGAAAAGAAGTAAACTTGGCACCCTCTCTGGGACCTACAGACCAACACCTACTTGTACATATTCACAAGTGTAGAAAAAATAATTATATTCTTCTGGGGACATTTTCAAACCGTCACTCTTTAGAATTGACTTAAGTGGCTTGCTGGAGGGCTACTTTCAGATCCTGGAATTTATTTATTTATTTTTTATTTTTTTGTTGTTGTTGTGTGTACACACAACATACTGTAAGCAGTATTTGCTTATGAATGTTCCTTAATTTTAAGCAGTGGGTGATAAGTCCAGGATTCTGAGCTCCTCCCATTCCAAGGAACCTCAAAACTAAATTTAGATAAGGGAGAATTTCCACATTCATGAACCTTTCAACTTTCTGCAGACGACGCTGTGTCCTTTGCCAGATTGGATGGATAATTTAAACGCTGCCACTTCTGAATATATACCTAGTCACAGGACTATGTTTCCAACATCCACGATTCTGGCTTATTCTAACCCATAATAAACCAGGTGTCTGTGTTTTTTGTGTCTTTCTTTGACATTAAACACTAATGAACTTATGCCTTTTCCTACAATACTGGGTTACGAATAACTTGACACAATAAAAGCAAAACTGTTGAGTGGGATTGTGGGGGTGAGTTACCAGGAGTGAGCACAAAGGTTTATTCACTATAAAACTACAAAGAAACCAGATAGGATTTAATTAAGTTAGAATCTGAATATGCAGGAATGTTCTGCTAGGGCCTCAGAGTGGGAAAAACCCTACAGCCAGGCCTAGAAGCATATATGGTGAGGCTATAAGCCAATTCTGTGCATCGACAGAAACGCAGGCACACAAACACACACCACACAAGCACACACACACTCACACAAACACACTCACACAGGCACATGTGCGTGCACATATTCATGCATACCAGCATGTATCTGCTTATTCCCAGGCACTCACACTCTGTAATGCTCTCTTATGGTGGGAATAACTCAAGGCCTGGAATGAAAGAGGGGATCAGATTAAATTTGTTCTGAGAGTTTCAGTAAAAGCAGTTGCTATGGACAGAAGCTCAGTGGGAAAATTCTTACAGAAACGAAAAAAAAAATGAGCCCTGAGAGTGGATGTGTCCTTTTAAATTTGGCAGTTACAGAAGAGGAATGAGGCTCAGCTGTAGGGAGTCTCCGGTCACCTGCATTCATGCTGTGACATAATCTAGGAATTTTTAAATCAAAGGAGCTGTTTTCCTGGGCCCCTTGCATTGTGGTCTGTATTGCTAAAGGAAACCGGGATTTGAGGAACTGCTAAAGGAAAGTTCAGGATGAAGTGTGTAGAGTTCATGTGGACATCATGCAGAAAGAAGGTGAGGCCAGTCCTTAGACACATCAAACTGAGCAATGCCATCCTGAACCCTGGTCACGATGGTGTACACCAGTGACTCCCAATCCTCCTAATGCTGTGACCTCTTAAACCAGTTCCTCATGTTGTAGTGACCCACAACCTTAAAATCATTTCATTGTTACTTCAGCATTTTGATATGGTTATGAATCATAATGAAAAGATCTGATATGTAAGACACTTGATACATAACCTTAAAGGGGTCCCAACCCACATGTTCAGAATCGCAGGTCTAGAGGAAAGGTAACAAACGAAACAAGCATCCTTGTGGTACTCAGGTTCCCTTCCTCAAGTCTTGCCAGACCACCAGTAGTGAGGAGAGATTAGAATGGGTATATCTGTACTCAGCAGTTCATGATGAAGGGACAGTCTAAGCCCCATGAAACCTGGGACTTACTGAGATTTCCGGTATAGACAGACAGGAGATCCTAGAAGACCCAGGGACTCACCAGGGGAAGAGGGAGGACTAGTGTTAGATGCAGAGGCAGCAGCAGCAGGTAATGGGCAGCCTTACAGGACAACCTCATTGACACCCTCTGGTTCCAGTACTGGACAATTGGTTCCAGCTAAAGGTTTGTTAGAGCCAATGGCATGGTCAGGTCTGAAGCAGCATTTCAGCCCTCAAAGGCAGAGGCCTCTTCTTTTAAAGCTTTTAAGAAAGAGGTAGGGAGAGGGGAGAAGCTGTTCTACAGAGAAGTGGGTGAAGGTCCCTTTTCTTTACTTTGCCAAATTAGGTTCAAAGGCCCTATGTGCTGGGTTTGAGCTGAGGCAGGGGCCTGAACCTCAAGCAAATTCTTTGCTTTACAGGTCATGAGGATTTCTGTCAAACCATGGCTAAAGTGTGACCTCTGGAATACAGCATGTGGGACATATGAACAGGTTGGTTTATGAGTTGTGAGACATGTCATTGGTCATGGCCTCTGTCAGCAGAGGGGCTGACGCTGTCCCTGTCTGGGAGGGACCAGTCCCTAGCTATGTGATGAGACACCTATCTGCTGGCACACCAGGTATGGAACAGATACATCTGGATCCAATCCCAGTCATCCGTGGTGGTTTAGAGCATAGTATGGTTTGTGTGTTTGTGTATGTGTGTGGGGGGG